CGAGTTCTCGAAAGTGAGAAGATCTGTTTGCTCTTCCTTCCATCCTGTGAACAAGGCAGCAGCATGTGTATCGGTCAGCCCAGGGTAGTTTTTGCTGCGGTAACAAGCATCCTCTGGTTCTCCAGAGGCTTGTTTCTCACACATGCTACACCCCTGTCGTGGGAGGGCCCAGGGCTCTGCACCCGTGTCATTGTCTCCCTCCTACACCAGGGTCCCAGATGGTGAAGATGCTTTCTGGACACACTGGTCACTGAGAGGGAGAGAAGAGGGCACCCCTGAGGGATTCACGGTGGCAAGGCTTACGGAGGAAGGGCCACCCTGCCACTCCCAAGTCATTGGCCAGAGCTGGTCACCCCCCTCCCCCCCAGGACACCAGGCAGTGGAGCTCTGCTGTGTGCTCGGGAGGAGAGGGAGGCCTGGAGTACCTGAGCGGTACTCCCTCCCGTGTGATGGCTGCACAGAATTGCCTTCATTGTGTCTTAGTCACAGGACGGTTGTGAAAATCAGACAGCCCCGTGGATTGGAGAGCTGGGTTAGGCAGGGTTCTCTATAGAAACACAACCAGTAGGGTATGAATATCTGTAGCTATATTATTTACATGTTTATACGGGGCAGAGATTGATTGATTTTAAGGAATTGGCTCATGCAGGTGCAGGGACTGGCAAATAAGTCTGAAATCCACAGGATGGGCCAGCAGTCTGGGGAGTCCATGTTGTAATCTGGAGGCAAAATTCCTTCTTCGGAGGACCTCGGTCCTCTCTCTTAAGTCTTCAACTGTTTGGATGAGGCCCACCCATATTATGGAGGGTAATCTGCTTCACTCAAAGTCTGTAGATTTAAATCACATCTGAGAGATTTAATCACATCTGAGAGATACCCTCATAGAAACATCTAGATAGTATCTGACCGAACAACTGACCGAACAACTGGGTACCATAGCCCAGCCAAGGGGACACATGAGAGTAACCATCCCAAGAGCCTAACGATACCGGGCACACCATAAGCATTCAATGCATGTTTCAATGTGGAAGGTTAAATGACCCCAATAAATATTTAAAAGCAATATTTAAAATATTTAAATATTTAAAAGAAATAAATATTTAAGGGGTGCCTGGGCGGCTCAGTAAGTTAAGTGTCCAACTTCGGCTCAGGTCACGATCTCATGGTGTGTGAGTTTGAGCCTCACATCTGGTTCTGCAATGAAAGTGCAGAGTCTGCCTAGGATTCTCTCTCCCTCTCTCTCTCAATAAATAATAAAACTTAAAAAAAGAAGGAAAGCAGTATTTAAAAGAAAAGTCTGGAAGCCCGTGTGCTAGAACACTGCAGCTATGAATCGTGAGAGCTGGACTTTGTCACTATGCGCGGTAGTAAAGATAACACCTGAGTCACCAGTAGAAACTCTGTTGTTCTTCCTTGTTTTCGTGGGATCCCACAAAACTACAGCAAAAGACTGCCTCTGTCACGTGTGACTGGCCCGGCACTCAGTGCTGATGATCACAAGACGAGCGATGGAGAAATGGCAGTGTGTGCTGATTCAGTGAAGTGTCCCCTCCCGGGCCGGGCCTGGGCCAGGAGCGAGCGGGACAGACGGGTCCTGGCCGCTAGGAGCTGGGGTCTGGGGAGGAGCTGTCCAGCAAGTACAGGTGGGGCTGGGCTGGGGGTGTGCACGCCGCTGGCCAGCAGAGAAGCCACTGCCAGCCTGTGCTCACCAGTACTTCCCAAGGGAGGTGTCCCGGGCTGTGCCTCCAGGTGGGTGTCACCAGCCGGACAGGCGGGAGAGGGCCCTTGTCGTCCTCAGTGGAGCCAGCGCGCTGATGCTTAGGGGGTGGGCTGTGAGTCGCAGAGGGGCCCGCTGCAGAGACGGGGTTTGGGGTAGACGATTGTGCCGACGCTGGGGGGTCACAGCGCTCCCCACCGATCAGCAGCGTCCAGTTGCTGGGAAGCCTGGTGCTTGGGGTGGTACCTGGAGGGGGTGTGTGTCCATCTCCTGGGGCTGCTGGGACAAAGTGCCATAGACCGGGCCGCCTAAAGCGACAGTTCGTTCTCTCACAGTTCCAGAGGCCACAAGTCGGGAATCCAGGCATCACCAGGGCTGTGCTCCCTCCAGAGGCTCTAGGGGAGGCTCCTTCCTCGCCTCTCCGTGGCTTCCGGCGGGAGCTGGTGATCCGGGGTGTTCCTTGGCCTGCAGCTGCGTGGCTGTGGCGTCTCTTCTGTGTTCACGTGGCTCCATCCTTCATGTGTGTTTCTACGTCCCTGTCCGAGTCCTCCTCTCCTTCCTCTCGTGAGGACATCCGTCGTTGGGTCTAGGGCCCACCCTCGTCCCACAGGACTTCAGCTCGATGGCGTCTGCAAACGCCTGCATTCCAAATTAGGGTCCGTGCTCAAGCATCGTTTTGGGGGACACGGTTCGGCCCATACTGAGGGTTGCACAGTCCACTGTTGTTGAAGACTTTTTGTTTGTTTCCTCTCTGTTTTTTTAGCTACGTGAAAGGCATCTATTCCTTTGGATTGATGGAAACCAACTTCTATGACAAGGCAGAAAAGCTTGCCAAAGAGGTAAGTGGGCCCTTCCCCTCAGGGGTGGCGTCGGGGGGGCAGAGCCCACACGGCTCCCCCTCCCCGCCCCCCCCCACTCTGGTCCGGTTTCCCGAGAGACCCTGGGGAGGACTCATATTACCAGCAAGGGCAGCAGGCCCTCCCACAGTCCGCAAACTGCCTCCACGGGCCAGGAAGGTGAATGAGGCCCGGGGAAGCTGTGTCCACCTCTCCCTCGGGGCCCCGTGCAGGGCCGCCCCAGGCTCCCCGAGCTCTTGTCTGTCTCTGTCCAGAGCTCCACGGTCACAGACAAAGGTTGCCTCCGGGTGGCCCCTGACCCGGGGGGCCGGGGTCTTGTCAGCCAGCTCTTCCCTCGACCTCTGCCTCCCCCCAGAGGGAGGGAACCATGGTGAAGGGTGCAGAGGAGTGTGGTTTTGCCAAGCGCCTCCTGTCGGGCTGGGCCCTTCCCGCCAAGGGCCGGCTGGTACCAAGGTGCATGCTGGATGCCCCTCACCAGCGGACCGGGACCGAGCAGTAGGCCGCGGCGGTGGACTTGGGGCTCGTGGTGTCCTCTGCGGCCCTCGGAGGCCGTGTCCTCCAGCCCCTCTCCTCCCAGGAGTGGAAACGGACCCCAGGAGGGAGGGGCTGTCG